CCAGATTTGTGCAATTCTGCGTAGACAACGATTTTCAAATTCTGGCGTCTATCTTTATCCTGTTTTTTAGTGGTCAAGTTTATGCGCTGTATACGAAGCTGGCCGAACTGCTGCAGCATACACTTGACTCTTTCCGAACAGCCGGATGTCGCTATGGCGCCACAGAACCTTCCATATGCGAGCTGACACTTCATACGTGATGTGTCCACCGGGTGAGAGATAGATATCGGTCCTGTAGCCACAATTTGCACTTTTAAGGTGCAAAATGCATAAGCTAGCATTCGGAACAGAATGTTACTAACCCGGATTATCACTGAGCAGTAAAATGACATCTGCAGATCCGTCTGCCACCGGGGAACAACTCGATGTCACTTTCCCCGCACGAGGATAGGGCTGTATCCATAATCAACTCTATAGCATAGTCAAATGGGAAAGGAGAAAGAGGGGCAAACATGACGAACACCACTTTCTGTGGTAAACTCGGATGAAAAAGTGCCGTAAACCCCGACTCGACTTCGGCTATTAGTATGAAGCGATCGAGAAACTGAGACAAACTTCTCGGGCACACCCTTCAAGGGAAGGCAGCACCAGAGTTTAGAGCGGTCGACTGAGTTGAACGTTGTTCTGCGGTGGAGAAAGATAGAAATAGTGGGTCTACGAAATTAGTGTCTGTCTGTGTTCTTAAATTTTGTTCGAAGGGTGAAACTGTGGTCTGTAACACCTGAGCCAGGTCTAAAATCAGCGTAGTTGTTATTCATGAACCGTTCCCTTGTAGTAGACACTCGACGGATTGTATTACTGACGAGGGGCAATGTTGAATAGACTTATTCTTCTGTGGTTTTCACGAGAGGATCTATCGCCATCCTTGTAAATCTGTACGATGCTCGATTCAGATCATTCAACTAGAACCTGTTCCCAGTTGTGTAAATTTCCTCGAATGGGATGTGTGTGGGCTCATTCCGAAAGTAGCGGAACCAGATTTCAATGGGATATTATGGTCGGATTCGTCTCTGGTATTAGCGGACTGCACGTAAAACGTGAACTATATACTCGTGAGCGTATTTAATAACACTTTGTCACGCCTATTGGAAATCTTTGGTAGACTACTAACTCGCTCTGTATTGAACATTTGTTTTTGTGCATTTGTCGCATATCGAAATAAGAAGAATTTGCATGTTTTTCTTCTTGTTGCTCATCAAAATACTGATAAAATTCAACTTTTTTCAACACCAATGCCAAGAGGTCCACATGGTTCTCCTCACTTGAATAAATATACGGTGAAAGGTCGTCCACTTTACGACTCGTCCTGTCCCGTACCGTCTCCTCCCCCATGGTTAGTTTGTGGGCGTGGTACTACCCGGTTGCCCAGGCCGAGGTAGAGGGTTTTCTTGGTGGCCCCTACCCGGAGCCTTTGGCTAAAGAACCTGACCTGCAAAGCAGTGGGGTGGAGTAGGGAATCCACGATCCTCTCGGAGAGGTGGAGGGCATTTCATACGCCTTTCGGATGCGGCCAACTTTCCAGGGTACTCAGATTGCCAGAGCCGCGTGCTTGCCGGTGAGTATCACGGTGGTCAATTCCAAAGATTAACTTTGGAGACCGGTTCGGTTGCGCCGAAGATTGGTACCCTTATGAGCTTCTTACGCCAGGTGTGGGTGGTTTGGAATCAGAGTTTAGCCAACTCCCCTAGACTGCCTACTAGTGGTCAGTCAACCCGGTGGAAAGCGCCGGGCATTCTCCTGCCCCCACCCCACTCATTTCTTCCTAGAGGAGGAGGAGGAGGAGGGATAGTGGGTCATATTTGTCACCATAATTATCCCCTCGTCCCAGATTACGTGGTTCGTGATGCCTCTTCTCTCTTGAAACCGGAACCGTGTAGGCTAGTGTCCGGTTGACCGATGCTCGCAACAAGCTTGTGCTACAATGAGTTCGTGCTCAATCGTGTATTGGACGAAATGTGGCCGTGTTAACTTCAGCTACCAGGTGTGATCAAGTGGGCTTGTATTCGAACAACGAGGACCGTAGTTCACCGTTCGGTTCAAGGGATTCGCTCTTTACTGACGATGGGACCGGACTGGTTGAAATCGTTATGCGTTACTGTTCTCTCAGTTTATGTTTCATGTGTTCTCTGTACGACCAGGCTTCTCACTACGCCTCAATCCAACTGACTATTCCACTCACACGACCTGATCGATATTGAATTGAGACATATTGAGACTATTGACTTGGGTTACGCCCTTCGTTTTGCCTGTTTGTCCCTAGTTCTGTCTATCATCTGGTGTCGATTCATTCACGAGCTTCATTCTACAGATGAGAGGTGTATCGGGCTCGATATTTACTCGGGACCTTCGAGGCGCGTTTGACACAAGTTCTTTATTATTCCTGGGGTTAGGGTGGATGGAGTGGATACTGGGCATGCATACATGCATGCATGCATGCATGCCTACACCTGCCCGAGGTTCTTCCTGCTTCTGGGTAGGATGAACGAGTCTTCCGTTTGGGTCCATCGCCGGGTACATTAAAAGAACACGACAGTAACAGTACTGTGGGTTTTACTTGACAATTCTATTACGCGCACGTGTGTTGTACGCATAAACAACGGTAAACACTTTATACTAGGATCGTGTTGTTGAGTCTTCCTGAGTGCTGATCTACCCACATTCACCCTCTCTCTACCTCTCGCGCGTGCGTGTGTGTGTGTGTGCAAGATAGATAGAGAGAGATTAGTTTGTTGGCACGCATCTTCCTCGCATGCGACCGTATCATGGGGTTCGGAGTAGGAGGGGGTAGGGGGAGGCGCAAGCTACGAGATACACACACACATGAACACTTTTAAAACGCTTATCAACTTCACTCACCTACTCAACCGTCCTTCCATCTCTCCCTTGCTCACCTGTGGTGGATCGTACTCGATTTCCTGCTTATAAACTGACTGTGGTAAAAACCAGACAAAGCAGAGTGTACAACGGTGTCATGGAATAATGATGAGATAGCCAAGACTCGGCTCTTCCACCACCATTTCTCTCCCATTTCATCCGCTTAATGTGTACCTTGCAATTCCGTCTACGCATCCGCACCTCACATACGAA